CGATATAATTTTTTCAGAGTCGTACTACTAAAGATGGTGATAAATTTGTGACGGAAACTAAATTGAGTTCAGGTGTAAAAAGCGTTCGAATTTACGAATTTACGGATACCGATATGACCGTCGTAAGTATTCCATCACACCATAATATATAGGATCTACTTTTTCTAGTTGTTAGTATGATCGATCTAAAATTGTGTACTCGCGCGTGCGTGTATGTGTGTGTGTGTTTATGTGTGTGTTTGAGAGAGAGAGAGAGAGAGAGGGAGAGAGAATATCAAACGTAATTTAAGATGATAAGAATAAGATAAAAACAATCATTGTTTTATCATTTTCAGCATTTAACGGAGAGCAATACAGGAGTGAAAGCAACGCGTACATATAAGAGACTTTAAAATGCGTTATTTCAACAATTTAGTTTGAATGACATATAAAATAACTTTTTATTAACATAATAAATAAAATGACTTCGTAAGACTTTTATCGTTTAGTTTTATTTCATTTTGTCTTTATTTAAGAAAACCCCTTGTTAATATCCATATTGAAAATTTTTCTATGATTTTCTCGAATAATCTCGACTGTTAATGTTCGATTAATTAATAAAAAATAACATTAATATCTTCGGTATCATCGTCGATCTATTTGTTCTAATCTTTCTGAATATTTCTCTATGGATTATTTTTTTTTCTGTGTTTTTCTTTTTTTTTCTTTTCTTTTTTTTCTTTTTTTCTTTTTTTTTTTTTTTTTTATTTGTTTAAATTAAATAGCGATTGTTCCGAAGATTTATTCAAAATTTTATCGAATCGATAAGAACTTATATATATATATATATATTTCTTATACGTTGAAAAAAAATCAATAGAAAGGAATAAATAATTTACTGATAAATGAATCAGTGTTGCATATTTCGGTTAGACAATGCTATTCTCAGTATTATCGTATGACAATCACGGAAAACATAATAGTGATTGAAAAATATATAAGAACATTGTAACGAACAATAAAGTAAAAGAATAAATATTGTATTTTATTAATTAAACATGCATTAACTGCAAGTACTGTAACTGTATCAATAAAAGATATACTTGTTATTTTGTAGATCAATTTGATAGTAACTTATCAGATAAATGAATCGATAATTCGTCAAAATAAATTTCATATCTTATCATAATTACAGTAGTATTCTTGTATGTCAGCTTAAATGTAATGAACCAATCAATATGAAAACAAAAAAAATATATATACATCATATTAAATAAAAATATATCAATTATTTTACGTCCGAAAAAAAAAATAAATAAAAATAAAAATAAAAGAATTCTTTTAAAACATTTTTTTTTCCAACCCCTACATTCATACAATCAATGTTTAGGCAAAAAGTTATGGCAGGTAAAATTATAGAATATGACGGGATAAAATGGAACGGCATGGAAATCGAATAGGATCGAATATAATTGACAAAGATCGAAGAAAATGGATTAAGATCGAGGCTGATTAATTAGGATTGGATTAGAGACAGGATCGAATAAGATCAAAAAGTATGGAATTGGATCAAATAGAATCAAAAAGTATAAAATTGGATCGAATTCGATCATACCGTATCAAATAGGTTCGAATTGGATTGCATTGTTAGAATAGAAGAACTCTAGATTTCGTCTAAGACGCGACATAATTCGATCCCATTCATTCATATCTAATCCTATTTTGGTCCTATTAAATTCTATTAGATCGCGTTTGATCTTTTTTAGTATTATTCGATTTTATTCAATCTAATTCAGTTCTTCTCGATTTTCTTCAATCGTGTTCAGTTATAATTAGTTCTTTTGCATTTTTATTTGATCATATCCAAAACTATACAACCCTATTCATTATCCGATTCTGTTCAATTTTATTCGATCCTATTCGATCTTATTTGAATCTGATCGATCCTATTCTAATCGATCCAATTTGAACATATTCCATCCAGACGATTCTTATTCCATCGAATTCGATCCTACTTTGTCTCATTCGTCTTATTTCGATCTTATTCTGTCTTATTCAATACTATTATTTTATTCGGTTCAATTTAATCCTATTTATTTAATTTCAAAACCATTTGGACGATTCGATATTTTTCGATCCTATTCTGTCTCATTCGTTTGTCTTATTTCGATCTTATTCTGTCTCATTCGTCTTATTTCGATCTTATTCTGTCTTATTCGATCCAATTTGGTCCTATTCTGTCTCGTTCGGTTTATTTCGATCATATTCTGTCTTATTCGATCCCATTTAGTTTTACTCGATTCTTTTCGATCTTATTTGATTATATTCTATCTCCCTATTCTGTCCTAATCGATCGTATTTATCTTTTTCATTCTCATTCGGTCCTGTACATATCTAATTCGATTATATTCTATTCTGTTTGACTCTATTCGATATGTTTCTTTTCTAATTCGGTCATTTTCCATTCTACCATGTCTTATTATTTTATCCTATCTTGTTCTGTTCCATTCCATTCTATATTTCTATCCTTCAAACTTTTTTACCTGAACAATATTAAATATCATAAAATATTAAACTGTTGACGCTGAAAAAAAATTTTACAAATATTATAGGTTGTCATTGAAAGAAGTAAAGTTGATTTATATTTGATTTCCAAGGCTAAATAATTTTTGTTCGAGATCTTCTTTTCAAAAATGTGTTGTTTAATATATTTTGATGTCTCAATTTAAAAAACTCAACCAGTATGTATATATATATGTATGTATATATGTATGTATGTATAAATCATCTTATACAATTTATAATAATTTCCTGTTTACCAATCTGATCGTATCTGATTAGTTAATACTAAAAACAATATTGAAAAATCACAAAAAGATAAATATATATCGAGATTAGATTGGTGAATCTTCATAGGATAGTTCATCTTATCCTAATTATAACAATTCTCTCATTTATATCATATTAATATTAGACAAAATGCTAAGAAATTATTAGAAAAAAAAAAAAAAATAAAGATATGTAAATGATAGAAACTATCTTCATAGAATAGATCTCATCTTAATATAATTATAATTCTCTCTACTAGCCTAAATGTATATTAAGTTGGTCAATATTAGACACATAACGCTAATTGTAAAAAAAAATAAAAAGAAAAATTGATGAAACTTTATAGGATAGATCATTCAAATAGATTACAAAAATTCAAACGTAATGACGTCTTTTATTTGAATACTAGTTTCTCAGAAAAAGCTTGAATAAGCCTGACAAATAGGCGTACATATAAAGACTTGAAATATCACGCATTCGTAACTTAACAATAAACGATAATTATACTTTTCGATGAAGCTAAGGATAATGATCGCTAAGGACTCCATCTTTTTTACTTCTTACTTGCTACGCGTAAAACATTAACCCCTTGCCTTATAATATCGAACGAGACTCATGATACGAATTTTCCTACCATTTTTTTCTTTTTTTTTTTTTTGTTTTTTTCCTTTATCTTTTCAATCGAAATTTATCAATATAGTAAGTAGTTAACTTATGTCGGTATACTTATGATTTCTTACTTTTTTTTTTTTCCTTTTTTTTTTGTTTTTTTAATGAACCACATGAGGAAACACTATGAATTGTGAAATTTAAATAGAAGTTATTAAAAAAATATTTCAAATCAATAGAAAAGAAAATAAATAAATAAATAAATAATAATAATAATCGATAAACATTATAAGAAAATAAATTTGATATCAGTTTTGTCCGTTAAGGTTTAATCTCTTTGATTTATAGATATGATCATTGAAATTGATTTTGTATGAATTTCATTCAAACTGTTTATAATTATTATCTTTTTATTTTCATGACTATACGAAATATCTTTTTATGGTCAATTGATATTTATTTCAGACGAATAAAATATTCTGTCTCTGCTCCGACAAAAATGTCCCATGTAATAATTCGGTAATGTTATATTTATCCTTATTTAACGCTTTCGGTATTATCAGTATTATCATTATCATTATTATTATTATTATTATTATTATTATTATTATTAGTATTATTAGTATTATTATATTTAATAAAAAAAAAAAAAAAAAAAAAAAAAAAAAAATAGGAAATTGTATGCAAATCAATGACATTTTTTAAAAGAAACATATTAATGTCGAACTGAAAAAATTAATTTGATTAACGTTCTAACATTCGCATTCTACAAATAAATAATAAACTTGTTTTTAATATACCCATATTATGGGAACACAGGAGTGTTATGGATGAAAATGATGTAAACAAATTCGTTCGCATTAACTATCTTACCTTTAAATATAAAGATTAGAAAAGCGAAGGAGGAAATACTTTTTTCTTTTTCTTTTTTTTTTGCCGACAATGCAAAATAAAAAAAAAAAAAATAAAAAACAAAAAAGAATATGTGAAAGTAAGTTGAGCTATAAAAAGAAGGATTATAATTGGAATGTTAGAAGCAAAGCATTTTTAAAAAAATTATTATTTTTTCTCGTTATAAGACAAGACACTGGAGGGGTTACGTTGAAAAGAGATTAAATAATTCCGTAATAATGAATTATTAAATGACTTGTTTAACAGCACGACGAAGAGAATAACGTTTTAGATGTGCTATATGTATAATAATGAAATAAAAACTCGTGTACCCATAGGGCCTGACAAAAGCAAGTAAAAAGGAAACGAAAAGGGGAAGGAAAAAAGGAAAAGAAAAAGCTGGTCAACAGCCATAAACGATATACGACTGTTATCAATTGTGCGTCATTGATCGTCAAAAGAATATAAAGGAAAAAAAAAAAAAAAAAAAAAAAAAAGAAGAAAATAGAAGAAAAAAGAAAGAAAAGAAAAAAAAAGAGAGACAAAGTAGAAAATTAGTAGGGAGCCTTTGAGAGTTTCATATGTATGTAAGTAAAGATATAAATATATATATATATATATATATATATATATATATATATATATATATATATATATTATATATAATCTTGTTAAACGATATTCGACTGGTGTGTGACTTCGTACTGTTTGGATTTATTTAATAATATATATGGTATCACAATAAATCATAAAGGTGCTGTACACAGATGAATAGTACGTGTGTTTGTATATATGTGTGTGTTCGTGTGTAATGTAATACGATGACAAAGCTATATAATAATATTATTATTTCTCTCCTTCTTAATGTACTCTCAACTCTTCTCTCTTCAGAAATAGGAACAAACAAAAATAAATATATGCGTTTCTTTTTCATAAAATACGACGACTAATCTTTATCAATTATATAATGCACATATAAAATTAAAAAATATAAAAAAACCGTCCGGTCTCGTTATATACGTTAAGAGCAATAATATGCCGGCGACTTATTCGATATCGTCGATTTTATTAGCGTATGAAAGTGCGATGCGTAAGCTTCTCCTTCTTCTCCTCCTCCTCCTTCTTCTTCTATTTTTTTGCCATTATTAATATACGACAATGTGTTTTTTTTTCTTTTTTTTTTCTTTTTTTTTTTTTTTCTCTTGGCTATATATTCTTCGTAGGACATAGAGTCTGCTGTGAACTACGGGGCCATTTACGAGCACCAGATGACTTTTCGCAATCTTAGACCACGGGATAATTACGATAAATCACTTCGAGAAACACATCCGATTATTTACACAACAAAATTATTCAGAATCTTTCTTTCTCTCTCTTTCTCTTTTTTTTTCTTTCTTTCTTTCTTTCTTTCTTTCTTTCGCCCTTTCATTCTATCTATCTTTCATTCGTACATTCACACATATCACGCTCGCACATCTTTCCCGCTTTGCTTTTTCTCTTTTCTCTCTCTCTCTCTCTCTCTCTCTCTCTCTCTCTCTCTCTCTCTGTCTGTCTGTCTGTCCGTCCGTCTGTCTCTTTCTCTCGTCCTTTTCATTCTTTCCTTTTATTTTTGTTTTCTTTTTTTGTATCTTTTTCTATTTATTTATTTACTTTTTTTCTTTTCGTTTTTCTTCTTCCTCACCGATTTAGATATCTAAATTGGATATATAATCCTTTTTTGCTGCGGCACACAACCGAAACAGTCGAAAGCTAAGAGTATGCAATAAAATTTTGTTTGTTGCATGTCGTTTCTTTGTCACAAGATTAAAACAGATCCAAGTGTGGGCTATTTTTTGTTTTGTGTTTTTTCTTCTTTTTCATTACGTGAAAATGTATATGTATATGTGTTTGTGTATGTGTATGCGTATGTTCATTTTACGTATATATATATATAATATATATATATATGTGTGTATGTGCGCATATATATATATATTAGATTAATATTTATGTAAGTAGAGTAAAAACTTCTCCCTTCGATAAATGTTCCCTAAAACGCTACCAGAGGACGATGTGGATCTCGTTTAAATCCTTCTCGTGAGAATAAAATATAAAAAAAAAAAAAAAATGTAAAAAAAAAAAGAGAAAAAAAAGTATTATTATAGTATGTAACGATCACGATCCGCGTAATTTTAAAAGGGTTTCGGGCTCGTATTATAATAATCAGCGGATCGATACAAGATATGCTCTTTTATCGTCGAGTCATTCAATCGGCACTCGAAATCAACTGGTTATCGGTGTGTGCGACTACAGGCGACAAATCCTTTTCAGGTACGTCATCCTCATTTTTACTATTTGTTGTTATTATTGTTGTTTTAGTGATTTCAACGTTATCCGCCGTTCCATTTTGCATTACTTTCACTTTAGTCGTCGACGAAGATTTAGTAGTAGCACCCGACGAGTGTCCAGACGCAACTTTCGATGTAACCTTCTTCACTGGTGAATGTGCTGCTGTTGTCGTCGTGCTAGTTAATTTTTGGCTCGACAAACGTTTCGTGGTCGAACTAGTATTAAGGATAGTAGTAGCGGACATAGAAGAACGCGTTGTGGTTTTAGATATAGGAGAACTCGTGGTACGTGCCATAGAGATTTGCTTATTAGCAGTCTCCTTGATTTGTTTGTCGATCATTGGTGATTTTGCAAGAGAAGTACGTGCCTTCGCCGTATTATTACTAGTCGAAGTGGTTTTAGATGATTTCGTTGCATTTAATGAACCACTAGCCGCATTTGTACCAGCTGATTTGGCCGGTGATTTAGCTGCTGTTATAGCGGAAGTCGATCTTGATTTGCCAGTCGTTGGTGCCGTTGTCGTCGTCGTCGTCGACGTCGTCGTACTAAACGATGTTCGCGAACCCGTCGTAGTTTTACTTGTGCTACTAACTTTGGCCGCGGTAGACGTAGACGTAATAGTCGATTTGGTAGCAGCTTTCGTGACTGTTGTCTTACTAAGAGATTTAACGTCGCCATTTAAAACAGATTTCTTTTCTACTGAGCTAGTATTACTTCTCGCTGAAGCTGGTGCAGGTTTTGATTTCGTAAGGGAACTGCTTGGACGCGCAGGAGCAGATTTTGTTGTTGACGTTGCTGTTGTTAATGTTTTGCTAGTCGATACAGTCTTTGTCGCATTTAATTTTGCTGCATTAGTAGTAGTTTGAGACTTGGTGCCAGCTGTATCGAGATGTTTAGGACGAGCTGCCGTAGTTCCGGCCGGCTTTTTCGTTGTTGTCGCTGAAGTCGTTGATCTTGTTGTCGAGGAGACAGTCTTCGATGGAGAAGTTGGAGTAGACTTTGGTGCCGCAGCCTTAGTAGTACTTGCACTGCTGCCAGGCTTCATTGATTTTGTCGTAGGCTTTGCTTTGGCTTTATTACTCGTGCTCGTTGCTGCTACTGTCGTGACTAATCCTGCTGCTGTAGTAACTGCAGCTGCAGCCACGATAGCTTCTGTCGCGGTTACCTCGATTCCTGGTGGTTCGACAACTGCTTCTTCTTCGGTCTTTTGTGGTTCTTCCACTTTCACAGGTTCAGTAATCTTTTGTATTTCTACATCCTGTGTTATCGATACAGTCTCAGAAATGTCTATAGTTTTGGCAGTATCCGCAGTCTCTGCGATTTCTGCAGTCTCTGCGATTCCTGGAGTCTCTGCGATTCCTATAGTCTCTGCGATTCCTGTGGTCTCTGCGATTCCTGTGGTCTCTGCGATTCCTGTGGTCTCTGCGATTCCTGTGGTCTCTGCGATTTCTGTAGTTTCTGCGATTCCTGTAGTTTCTACGATTCCTGCAGTCTCTGCGATTCCTGTAGTCTCTACGATTCCTGTAGTCTCTGCGATTCCTGTAGTCTCTACGATTCCTGCAGTCTCTGCGATTCCTGTAGTCTCTACGATTCCTGTAGTCTCTACGATTCCTGCAGTCTCTACGATTCCTGTAGACTCTACGATTCCTGCAGACTCTACGATTCCTGCAGTCTCTGCGACGATTCCTGCAGTCTCTGCGATTCCTGCAGTCTCTGCGATTCTTGCAATTTCTGCAAAACCTGCAATACTTGAAATTTCTGCAGTACCTGCGATTTCTGCAGTCTCTGTAATTTCTGCAGTACCTGCGATTTCTGCAGTCTCTGTGATTTCTGCAGTACCTGCGATTTCTGCAGTCTCTGTGATTTCTGCAGTATCTGCGATTTCTGCAGTCTCTGTGATTTCTGCAGTACCTGCGATTTCTGCAGTACCTGCGATTTCTGCAGTACCTGCAATTTCTGCAGTCTCTGTGATTTCTGCAGTACCTGCGATTTCTGCAGTTTCTGTGATTTCTGCAGTACCTGCGATTTCTGCAGTCTTTTTGATTTCTGCAGTCTCAGTGATTTCTGCAGTACCTGCAATTTCTGCAGTACCTGTGATTTCTGCAGTACCTGCGATTTCTGTAGTACCTGTAATTTCTGTAGTACCTGTGATTTCTGTAGTACCTGCGATTTCTGTAGTACCTGCGATTTCTGTAGTACCTGCGATTTCTGTAGTACCTGTGATTTCTGTAGTACCTGCAACTTCTGCCGTCCCTGCAACTTCTGCAGTATCTATAATTCCCACGGTAGTAGTATCTATAGGCTTCGTAATTTCTACAATTTTCTCGGGTACGTCACTTTCTACGATGTCCATAGAAACGACAGTTTTTTCAGTATCTGTAGGCGTTGATATTTCTGTAGTTTCTACAGGTGTTACTAGTTCGAAAGCGTCCGAAGCTTTTTCAATTTCGATATTTTCTACGGATGTCACAAGTTCTGTAGACTTTGAAAATTCTGTTAATTCTGTAGTAGCAACTGGCTGTGTTGTTTCCGCAACCTGTACAATTTCTGCGTCTTCCTTAGCTTCTAATGCTTCCTCCTCTTCTTCTACTTCTTTTTCTTTCGTATCTAAAAGTAATTTTTCTTCGACAGTTTCTTGTACAGGAGACTCCTTATGTTCAACAATATCTTCTGTCGTGATTTTATCTTCGATGGTTGGAGCCGTTTCGATTATTGGAGATTCCTCAGGTGTAATATTATCAGGTTCTAATTGTTTTTCCAAACCTGTAAATTCTTGTATAGATTCTGACAAATTTAATGCGACTGTTTCGTTGACTTTTTCAAATTCATTAACGTCGATTTCAATTTTGTCAATAGACTTTGTCTCCGAGGAATCTTCCAATTTCAGATGAATATCTTGACTTAAATCAATATGTTTGTTTGTATCAAAAAGACATACAGATTCTTCCATAAGTCGTGACGGTTTTTCTGTAATATCTTCGAAAGTAGAAGAAGACTGAGGATATTCTACAGCTTTGCTTTCTTCGATGTGATCTGTCGTAGGCACTTCAGTGGTAGTTTCTTTAAGGTCTAACAAATTCTCGATAGGTCGATCGTTGAAGATTGGCTCAGAAGAGATAAGAGTCGGTAGATAAGAGGATTCTGGGTGATGTTCTGTTAGAACAGGCTGTGCAATTATGTCCATTGAATTGTCTAAAAGTATTGGTTTCGAAGATATATCAGATAATGCTGGTTCTCCAGAAGCAAACGGATCGAAGGAACTCTTATTCATTTGAAATTCTGAAACGTCTGAACATAAATTAGAAACCATAATGGGACGATCTTCCTCTTTATTAACTAACGTAAGATTTTCCGTGGAAGCGATTAAATCGTTTTTCAATAGATCCGGAGATGTATCTACGAGTTCTGTTTCAATCGATGGCATAAACGGAGAAACTGATTTTGATGATTCGTCGATCGTAGACGACAAAAAGTTATGCTGCTCTTCCTGGGATATCGTATTTTGTAATATTTCGGATTGAATTAGATCTGTTGCAATTTCGACCGGTTTGTCTACGAGAAACTCGTTGTCGCTACTCGTGACAATATTATTGTCCATTGCGATATCTTTTTCATCGTCGATATATTCCGCTTCTTTCGGTGTTTCCACACGTTCATTTTCTTTATCTTTTTCTTCTTTCTCTTCCTCATTATCTCGCTTAACATGTATCATCTCGTCCTTATTATCTAACAACAAAGAAGAAGATGATCTTTTTTCATCGTCTTCCTTCGAAAAATCTTGCTCGGATAAAGAATTGATTGGAGATGATTGATGACGTTCCAATTCAACTTGAATAAATTCCGCAGTTTTCGGTTCGTCCGAATCTTCGAACTTTAAGAAAGTATTATCATCCTTTGATAATAACGATGATGTTTGAACTTGATTAGATGAGTCACCATTAGACAACGTATCAAATTCCGTACGACGTTCTTCTATATCCGTTGATGATATTGCCTTCGGTGACTGGGGAATTCGTCCTTCAGAAGAGTAATTTTCATCCTCTAAATCCCCATCGCTTAAATCGTGAACAGCATTTAAATCTACTTCCTTATTAAAGGCCGCTTTGAAATCACACGGAGCATAGGACATCGTCATTGGATTATCTCTGTTATAAATGTCACAGTCGGAATCCCCAAAGGATTCTTCCATCGTGGAAATTTCAGTTTTATGTAAATCAGTAGTCGTTGTACATAGAAAGCTCATCGTTTCATCCCCGTATTCGGCTTTGGTCGAAGAAATTTCAGATTCATCTAAACCAGCAGCAACGGCGGCGGTGGATAATGGATTAATTATTTTTTGTTGTTCCGTATAAAAATCATAATCGGAATGCGTTGTATGATCGCCATTAGGGGATGAATCTTCCTCTTCGATCTCATGAGGCCTGGCAGATATTTCCTCGTCAAATTCTTTTTGACTCGGCACTTTAATATCATCCATCGCTATAGTTTTCAAAGGAGAACCCGCAACGAGACTATCGTTTATGGTATTGAGCTTAATTTGACGTTTAGGCGGCGAGATCGGAATAAATTCAGCCGCGTTAGGATTCAATTGAAAATCCATATCTTCCTCTTGTTCTTGCTTATCCACTTCCTCTTCGTCCTCTCCTCCTCTATCCTCTTTTTTTTCCTTTTCTTCGTATTCTTTCTCTTCTTTTTCTTTTTCTTCTTCCTCTTCCTCTTCTTCCTCTTCCTCTTCCTCCTCTTCTACAAAACCGTGCTCTTTCTCTTCTTTCTCTTCGGTTTCTTCCTTTTCAGCTTCTTTTTGCTCTTCTTCCTCTTCCTTTTCTAGTTTTACGAACGTAGAGTCAAATTCTTTATTTTCTTCGACGCTAATCTGAAATAAATAAAATTAATTTGATCAAAATTTCTTTTTTGTAAATGTCTATGATAAATATTATATGTTTTTAAAAGAAATTATTGGATTAAAGATTTTTTTTGTTGTTTTTTTATATCAGTCGTCTTACATCAGTGTTAATAAGCTCAGGTAATATTTCCTCCCCCTTTTGACTCTCACATTCGCTGCTACTATTATGTTCGGACGTTGGAGACCGAGATGGTTCCTCCACGTTGTTATCCTCGTCAAGATGTTCAACGTTCTTATTTTCGTTGTCGTTCTTTATTTCGTTGAGCTCTTCGGAAGATGCAGCTGTATCTTTCTCTTTGTTTGGCCCAACACGATAGTAATTCCACTCGTCCTCGGAATCCTCGCTATCCGCTACGTTATCCGCCTCGGGTAACAGTGCATGCTGAAGAGCTTCTGCGATAAAAATAAGTACAAATTAATGATTTATATATATATATATACTATTATAACATATTTAACTCTTTATAACAATTTGTTTGTTTGTTTTTATTTTCTATACTAAAATTATTTAATATAAAAATTATATACTATTAAAATAATACTACACATACACACACGCGCACGCACAGACAATATACTATATATTACATAGAATATAATATATATAGTAATAAGCGATGTACAATATTAGTAATATTATTATTTTCAGTATTACTATAATATTGTATATATGTTTATTTATATATTCTCTAATAATAATAGTATATTAAATCTATATAAATATCATACATATTATAGTAATATATACTATTATAATTTTACAGAATATATTTGTATACACACCCATACTCCTCATTCTCTCTACCCCAATCCCAATTTTTATAGTAATATTTCATATAATATTATATTAATAATAATATAGAATGTTATATTTAATATACAAAATATAACTAAAATTATAAAAAATATTAAAAGCTTCGAATATGAAACAAATTTTAAGCGATGAAATAAAATAAAACAATGTGTCTGTGTGTGTGTGTGTGATTTGAGAATTATATTAAGTTATAGACGGTTAGCTAGAATAAATCTAAATGATCTATGTAGAAAGTTTAATCACAGTTTTTCGTTACATTATAAGACGTAATACGTATTTCGTAAGAACAGTGATACGGTACGATAAATAATCCTACGCTATTTAATGCATGGCTGCACTCGTATGCACATAATATGCATCTTACCTCGTAAAAGAGGATTTATATTTTGCAAGAAGTCATATAAATTGCTATAAGACAAACTTTACAGACATCTTAATTAATTATATCATTTTGTATTAATCCTTTTGTAATAAGATTAATTATTATCACTCGAATAATTATTCTCGTCTCGCGATAGATATTCGTAGTAAAAAAAAAAAAATTTCAACCTAAGTATAGTTTTTCGATTAGATCTGAGATTGGACAATGGAAACCTTCTCAACCAGACATCCGAGACATAGCCACGCCTTATGTCCAAAGAAAAATCGAAGAACGGCACTGACCAAAATTTTAAATAGTCTTTCTTTTTTGTTTTCTAATCATCCCTAACAAGAAATTCGAAAATCAAAAGGACATATACATAATACACGTGGTACGTTCCAGAAAAAAATCAAAAAAGCATTCATACAATTTTATTTGTTTTCACATAGGGATACACACACACATACACAGAGACACACAGACACATACATATATATACACATACGACTTCACGTATTGTTCCATTATAAGTCATCACTTTCTAATCATAATTATCGATAAAACTCAAAGAGAGAAATAAAGAGGGGGGGGGGGGGGGGGGGGTGGAGAAATTTTTTATACAAATTCGTATACTATTAAATCCATAATTAAATAACGGATCATTATTACCAAAGTATCGTTCGTATAATTAACCTTGAACCGTGATGAGAACGAAGTAAGAGAGGTTGTACAGGTCAGTGAATAACGAGAGAGAAAAAGCGAATTAACACAGTCTAGACAGAAATATCTTGATTCATGGCGTTCCTTGGCAAGAGGAATGAGAGCAATAAACTATCGATTGGACTTTTAGGAAGGTTGAAGGAGGAGGGAAGGGGAAGAGAAGAAGAGGGGACAGGGGCACAACGCGACCACCTTATAATAAAGTCATTCTCACAAACGAAGCGCGTTCACGTTGAAGGACGAGTTACAGTGACAATTAATGTTCTAAAAAATACCGATGATACATAATAAATATCGAGAAAACAACACATTTGTCGAGCGCAATTAAAAGGAAAAAAAAAAAAGAAAAGAAAAGAAAAAAAAATGGGGAGAACAAAACAAAAAAAAGATATGGACGATGAAAAAGTATATTTTACTCACAAATTCGTAGTGAATGTACACAGGGCACAGAAGAGAGAAGGAGAAAGAGAGAAAAAAAGAGAAAGAGAAAGAGGATATCACTCCTCAGGAGGAGCGATCAGCAGTGACTAAGAGGAACTACGCCCGCCAAGAGATGCATTATCGATCTAGTCTAGAGCTCCCCTGGTGGACCCCCTTCTCTCCTCGTCCCTGGCACCACCCACCTGTGCACCGTATAGCAACAGTCGCACCTCATCTCCTGTAGGAACGAACCATGTCCCTGGGATTGATCCTTATCGTAGAGACGCGCAGGATAAAAACCTAGCCAAAAATCTTATCGGACATTGACATTTTCTCTTTTCATATTAATTATAGTAAATTTTAATTTTTAATAACTCCTAAATTTTATTAAGCTTTTATCGAGTTATATAATATTATATACATATATAAATATATATATATATATATGAATTTATTTATTTAAAAATTTTTAATATTAGATCATTGATTTAAATAGTAATTTTAAAATCTGAAATGTTTCATATATATATATACATATATATATATATAATATATACATACACTATAGATCTGTAGATATATATTTACTTGAATATATCATAAAACATCCATACACACACACACACACATACACACACACTATAGGTATATATAAATATAATATTTATATATCTATATATCTATCTAATCTACTCCATCTATATCTATTTAATCTATCTATAAATATAGATTTATATAGATACTATATAATATATATATACACAGTATATTAAATATTATATATATATACACACATACACATGAACGTATCGAAATAATAGAATTACGTAGAAATAGAAAGCTCCCTATGGTCCAAACCACAAAAGGAGAATAATGAAAATCCTTTATTTAGGGGCACTCCTAACGGCAGCAGCACTAGGCTTCGCTTTAATACTCGTCTGGAATATGCTTGGAAACAGGCTTAAGGGATGTTAAAAAAAGGAACCGCCCACGCGAAGAACACTCGCTTAACCCGTTCTCTTAATTCCAACTTCTCTCTACCTACTACCACCACTACCACTACCATTACCACTGCCACTGTCATTGATACTACTCTTCCACCACCATTATTGCTATCGCTATCACCACCACTACACACCATTCATTCTCACCATCGTGCATTCGCACTAACTTATGTGTATGTATACATACTTTATCTATCCAGTCGAGTTATCTAACTTTTTCCAAGATATGAATGAAATTGTTCTCGAATGAGTTTCGAAGAAGCGACTAATAAAAATGCGGAAGCGTATCATCGAAGGTGTGCATACTTGCGGTTATATATATACGCTTTCTCTCTCCCCTTCTCTCTCTCTCATTCTACATATATATATATATCTTTCTGACACGATGATTTATAGTCGATGCCATTATGGGATACACCGAGAAACCATAAAATATCGTCGTCTATAAGGTTCTCGTTCCTTTTAACTGGCAACTGGCACGCATCGTTAACTAGATTTTAACGTCTGGCACGTGAGAACAATATATACAAAAGAGATCACGTTAATACTTCTCTGTGTGTGTTGTGTGTGTATGTGTGCAAATTTTTTTTTTTTTTTTTTTTTTTACATCATCAAACAACATCTATTTCCGTTTTCTTCGTACTTTTTTTTTCATTCGGCTAATTGTTAATTTAATCGTTATCATAATCATTGCCAAAAAGCTGTATTATTATATATTTATCGAGTTCCTATTTTCGTTTTAACGGAAGATTCATTACTTATACAAGCCTAAAATTCAACTTGTTAAATGGGAAACTGCAATACCCACGTAGAGAGAGAGAGAGAGAGAGAGAGAGAGAGAGAGAGAGAGAGAGAGAGAGAGAGAGAGAGAGAGAGAGAGAGAGAGAGAGAGAGAGAGAGAGAGAGAGAGAGAGCAAGAGGAAGAGAAGAAATGGCTCGTTTCTTCTCTCTTTCTCTCCCTTTTCTCTTCTCTTTCTTCGTTTGTACGTACTGCAAGAAAGAAAAATATACGAGAGTTCGTTCCAAAAGGACCCTTGGCATGTAGCGAGCATCTCTCTCTTTTCGCCTCTCATTCGGTCCTTTTATTTGACTCCTTTACCATTTCCCCGAGTCCTACGTTCCAGTGCAATGTGTATTGGTCGCATGTGCGGAGAGTGCAAGGGAGAAGAGCTAATTTTAAACTGACATCAAGAGTGAGAGAGAGGGAGGAAGGGAGGGAAGGAGGGAGGGAGGGAGGGAAGGAGGGAGGGAGGGAGGGAAGGAGGGAGGGAGGGAGGGAGGGAAGGAGGGAGGGAGGGAGGGAGGGAAGGAGGGAGGGAGGGAGGGAGGGAGGGAGGGAGGGAGGGAGGGAGGGAGGGAAGGAGGGAGGGAGGGAGGGAGAGGAAGAGAGACGCTTTAAAGAAAAAGTAAAAAAGAAACTCCAACTTCATTGGCGTCGATTCGAAAAGTCTTTTTTTTTTACTTTTTTTATTTTTTTATTTTTTGGAAGATTCATCATTTCTTATGTTGTTTATTTATTCTATTAAATTTTATTTTATTTGTATTTATTCTTGTTAAATTTTAAGCAAAAGAAAATTCCTCATTGGTGTAGATGCGAAAAGACATTTTTTGAAATTTATAATTTCTTAGGTTGATTTCAGATTTTTATTTATTTATTTTTTTTCTTTTTTGTTTCTTTTCTTTTCTTCTTTTTTTTTCTCTTTTTAATTTTTATTAAATTTCAAGGAAAAGATAATTTCAACTCAATCGGAGTGAATTAGAAGTCTTTTTTCTTTTCTTTTTTTTTTAAGATCATCGTCTCATTATTTTTCCTTCATCTTTGTTAAATTCCAAACAAAATAAAATTTCAACTTCTCACTGACGTCGACTCGAAAAAAGTTACATTTTAAGATAAATCATTTCTTTCGAAATATTTCTAGTAATTTCTTTTTTATATTTGTAATTATTATTTTTCTTTTTTCCTCTTTTATTTTTTTACTGTTCGTTCGTTCGTTCGTTCGTTAAATTCCAAAAAAGAAAAAAAGGAAAAAAAAAACCAAATAAGAAAAGCGTTTCGATGAAAATCAAAAGATTC